CTGTAAATTGGGCCTCACAACACGGGCCCTCGGTCCTTCATCTGAAGCTCTTGGGCTAGGTGTTTGAGAATTGAGAATTTTCCTGAATTTGTTTTTTATTTTATTTTTTTATCCTCATCCAAGGACACCTTCCCATTTTTTGTTCAGATAGAGTGGGAGGGAGAGAGAGGAAGAGAGAGAGAGAGAAACATTGACATGAAAGGGACACATTGAGTGGTTGCCACCCGCACGACACAACCAAGGTACGCGCCCCCAGCAGGAACCGAACCCAAGTCTCTCTGGACCGCAGGCTGACGCTCTAACCACTGAGCAAAACCGGCCAAGGCAGAGAATTTTCCTGACTTTGAAACGGGGCCTGTGCTGTGCAACACTCCCCACGGGTGGGCGGGCGGAGCAGCAGCCTCTGGCAGTCATGAGTATTCCAGCAGCGAAACACTGTGCAGGGTCAGAAAGGGAGACCAGTCAGGACTGATAGATTCAGGGCGGGCAGGTTTCGCTACTCGGTTTGTGACAGACTTACATATCTGGGCTTCCCAGAGTGCTGCGGTTTCGGGAGTTGTGTCCCAGGGGTTGTGAGCCGGTGCAGCATGGTTTTGTGAGGGGCCGGTGGGGCTGCACCAGCGGCTGTCAAGGTCACGGTGAGGAGCGCTCTCCTGGAACAGACTGGCCGCAGGCTGGGGCTGGCTGGAGTACACTTGCTGGTTGAGAACACAGGCACACTTGGGTTCATTCTCGTCTCTGCTGTTTATTTGCCAGGTGACCTTGGGCAGGCGACTCACCTTTGCTGAGCCTTAGGTCATTCTTCTGTGTGGTACAGAGAACAGGGTGGCTGAGGGTTCATTCAATGACACCGTGTCTACAGAAGCATAGCACACCACTAGCTGGCAACCGGCACTCACACGTCAGGGCGGTTGGGGCCACTTAACTTATTATGATGTTTCCTGTTCTCCAGATCATCGGCCGCGGCAACGATCAGGTGGCCATCAGCTCCAAATTTGAGACCAGGGATGATATTGGTATGCTGCCCATGGGGGTGGTTTGTTTGGGTTCCGAGAGGGGAGGTTTAGCAGTCAGTATGGTTTATGTCTTGCTGCAGTAACAAATACTCCCAAGTCACACTGGCTTCACACAGAGGCTGCCACTTGCCCACAATACCCGCACTATGGATTGGTGGGGGCCTGCCCAGTACTGCCTCTCTGGGACCTTCCACCATTGGACACATCCCTGCAGTGAGATGTGACAGGAGGGATCCTGGTGAACTGTGCACTGGCTCACAAAGGTGCTCACCTGGAAGTGACACACAGCCACCCTGCATGCATTTCACTGGCCATGGCAAGTCACCTGGCCTAACTTTAGGGGGCAGGCGGTGCTGTCCCACCGGCCTGCAAGGAGAAGTGGAATGTGTGTGTGAATCCTACAAATAGCTCATTGGGGTTTCTAGGAACCCCAAGTTCAAGACCAGGCATTAGACAGGAACGCTGATAGGGAGCAGGGAAGAGGACCTGGGCCAGCAGAGGGTCCAACGTCTGCCCCCTCACAGCGGTGATCCGGAACTATGGGAACCTCCTGCTGGAGATGTCTGCCGTGGTCCCCGATGGCATCGTGGCCTTCTTCACCAGCTACCAGTACATGGAGAGCGCCGTGGCCTCGTGGTATGAGCAGGTACGCCCACCGCCCCAGCTGTCCACACCCAGGAGGCCCCTTGCTTCTCAGATCTTGGCTCTGCCCCTCTGTGTTGGCTTCACTTGTGCTGCAAATGGTGACATGTGTCATAGGTGACAGGAGAGTGTATAAGGCATATATGAAGAGTTTAAACAATAAATAGTGTACACCCTGTGCCCTCCCCCACCTCCAGGGTAAGACTGAGACATTAACACCTCTGTGGGCCCTTCCTCAAAGGTGTCCCCTTCAGGAGAAATAATCACACCCTGCCTTCTTGGTTCCTTGTTCCCTTGCTGCTCTTTTTGGGGTTACCACTGTGACTGTGCTCCCCCCCTTAGCATATGTGGCTCGACATGGAGACACAGTAGCAGGCGTGCTGTGCTGTTAGAGGAAGGTTCTGGAGAATTAAGACTGGACAGAGAGCCCTGGCCTGCTTGGCTCAGTGGTTAGAGTGTCGGCCCATGGACCGAAGGGTCTCAGGTTCAATCCCTGGCCTAGTCGGGGCACACGTGGGAGGCAGCCAGCTGGTGTCTTCCTCACATCGGTGCTTCTCTCTTTTCTTCCCTCCCTCCCTTCCTCCCGCTCTCTAAAAATCAATGGAAAACATATCCTTGGGTGAGGATTAACCAAACAAAAAGACTGGACAGAGACTCTGGGCAGAGAGTGCACTGGGGAGCATGTGGGCCAGGTCTGGGCAGGGTGTGGGGCGGGCCCCTCTGTCCTCCCTGCCTCCAGGTGCGCCATGGCCCAGCTCTCGGGGTCGGTGGAAGCAAGCCCTGCTTTGGGCTGAGATAAGTGAACTTGGCTAAGCCAGACCCCAGGGAAGGTGGGGGTGGGACCCTCATTCACTCATGGCCAAGACCTCAGTTTTGTCCTCAGACAGGCTCCTTCCACACAGTGGGAGAGGCGGCTGCTGGCCACCTGCGCCCACGTCCTGAGCGCCTTGTGTGTCCTGGTTAAGAAACCTCTGCCTACCCCAAGGTCACGAAGGTGGTCTCCTATGCTTCCTTCCAGAAAGCTCTGTAGTTCTAGCTTTCCAGCCGAGGTCTGTGAGTACCTCGAGTTCATCTCTGTGTGTGGTGTGAGGTGGAGGTCAAGGTTCATTTTTCCCCATATGGAAAGTTAGTTGCTGCAGCCCCATGTACGGAAAAGAGCTCTCCCCACTGAATGTGACCCTCTGCTCTGTCCCACCGGTGTGTCTGTCCTGGGTCACATGTCTCTCTTACGGTGTCACATAAGGAACCTCCGGGCAGCCTCTGAGCAGCTCTGCCTGGCTCCTCAGCATCTCCAGTCACTGCCTGGGCAGGAGGTGTCCCGGTTGGCTGTCCTGGGTCACGTGCCTGCCCCACTTGTTCGAGAGGGGGGTTGTGGGGATCGGTTCCCTGCCAGGATCACAGGGTTTTCCGAAAGAAGTGAGGCTGGCCAGTGCCACCCCCCTCCCTGCCCGTCTCCGCTGGGGAGAGAAGTGGTCTGTTGCCTGGGAACCGGGGGCAGAGCTGAGTTTAGCCAGGACACCTGTGAGCTTAATCCTCCTCCTGCCTCCCGCACCCTGACCCGCCCAGTGTCCTTCCCCAGGGCATCCTTGAAAACATCCAGAGGAACAAGCTACTCTTCATCGAGACCCAAGACGGGGCTGAGACCAGTGTCGCCCTGGAGAAGTACCAGGAGGTGAGGTGGGGTGGGGGTGCTGACACAGCGGCCAGAGATGGGCCAAAGGGGACAGGTCCAAGGGTCACAGCTCTGTCCTGGCCTCCCCGCCCCAGGCCTGCGAGAACGGCCGTGGGGCCATCCTGCTGTCAGTGGCTCGAGGAAAAGTGTCCGAGGGAATCGACTTTGGTGAGTAGATGAGGCTCTCCCCTTCCCAAGCGCCGTCCCGGAGCTCAGCCATCTCTGCTCTCCCAGGGGCCCGCTCACAGCCCGTTCCTGGGGCCGGTGGGGCCCTCAGGCACATCCCCTCTTCTCAGTCCTGGGCTGCACGAGGGTGCTCTTTCCTGCTGGTCTCATCAGTAACCGACACCCCTGCCCACGCAGTGCACCACTTTGGGAGGGCCGTCATCATGTTCGGTGTCCCCTACGTCTACACCCAGAGCCGCATCCTCAAGGTGAGCCGCTCCGGGGACGTGGCGTTTCAGGGCCTCTCTCGGGCCCTCCTGCTAGGACTTGTGCGGGGAAGAGGCTGAATGCAGAGGGACAGGCAGTCAGGGATCATCTCCCACAGGCACGGCTGGAATACCTGCGCGACCAGTTCCAGATCCGAGAGAAGGACTTTCTCACCTTCGATGCCATGCGCCATGCGGCCCAGTGTGTGGGTCGGGCCATCAGGGGCAAGACGGACTATGGCCTCATGGTCTTCGCCGACAAGGTGCGGGTTCAGGGGCCCCGCCACCTGGCTGTTCCCCCAGTCGTCCAGGGGGCCCCCGCCCCCGCCCCAGGGTCCTGACACCTTTCCTCTCCCCCATGCTCCTGCTCAAAGCGGTACGCCGGGGCGGACAAGCGGGGGAAGCTGCCCCGCTGGATCCAGGAGCACCTCACGGACGCCAACCTCAACCTGACGGTGGACGAGGGGGTCCAGGTGGCCAAGTATTTCCTGAGGCAGATGGCACAGCCATTCCACAGGGTGAGTGGAGTTGGCCCGCCCCGACTTCCCTTCAGCCTCCCAACCTAAGCTCCTCCTCCGGGAAGCTCTCCTGGCTTTCTCCCCGCCCTAACCCCAGCCTGCCCTTGACAAGGAGAGGTCTGTGTGCGCCCACACACCCGGCCTGGGAACTGGTGGGAGTCGAGGGCTACGGACGCCAGCGTGTGTCTACAGTAGACGAGCAGGCGCGTGGGAGCCCCGAGGAGGAAGGGCGAGAGAACGGGGTGAGCAGGCAGGCAGAGCCTCCGGAAGGCTGATCCTTCTCCAGCCTGGACACAGCTGTGTGGCTGCCACCTCCCTCCTCCTGGCCTGTCTTGTGTCTATGGGGATAGTATGCTCTGCATCTCAGGGGTGTTTCCAAATTCAGGTGTGCTGTCCTGTAGCCCTGTGAGCCACCTCGGTCACCGAGGACCCCCCTCTCCTCGTGGGGGCGTGTGAGGAAGCACAGCCACAGTCTCCCAGCCCCTGGCCTGACCCCTCCCTCTGTCCCTGCCTCCAGGAGGATCAGCTGGGCCTGTCCCTGCTCAGCCTGGAGCAGCTGGAGTCGGAGGAGACGCTGCGGAGGATCGAGCAGATTGCACAGCAGCTGTAGCGCAAGGTGTGGGCAGGGCTGGGGGAGGGGGCTTCAGGGAGGCGCTGGAAGGTCCTTGCAGGAAAGAGACCTCAGGCAGACACTCCTGGCAGCCAAATCTACAGCCTTTAATCACAGGAGAGGGCAGCCCCATATACCTGGTGTCCCCAAGTGGTGGGGCGCCACGCAGGGAGACGAAAGGACTCCCCTGTGCCCACCCTGTCCCCGAGAACTGCGGCCATGCGGTCCGGTTGACATTAGCGGGGGCCCAGGTCCTGGGTGCTGGCGCTGAAGGCCCGAGAGGCCTCACTCAGGTGCTGGTTGGGGAACTGGGAACAGGCACGAGGGATGGCTGAAGGGTGGGTGAGGAGCAAGACGCAGCTGCCCACCTGCTACTGGAGCCACCCCCGCAGCCTGGCTGCCAGCTTGTCCACCGCAGGGGCTGTATTGCTCCTTCTGTCCCCACAAGTCCATTCCCTACCTTGACCCCCAAGTAAAACCCATCCATTCTGTGTTCTGGGCCTGTCAGCATGGCCTCCTACTCCACCCATGACTTAGGTGCCCGTGTCTGCTGCTCACCTGGGTCCCAGCAGCCCTTGCACCATCCATGTGCAGCGTGTTGAGTGACACAGCTCTCTTCATCCTGCAGACGACACGAGTGAGTCCCAGGTGCCTGGCTCCCACCCTGGGAAGACCTCTCCAGCACTGGGTTTGATTGTGTGTCACAGGGGAGATGGGAGCCATGGAAGGCTCTTGAGCAGGATGAGGGGAGGAGCTGCAGCTATGAGGACTCTTCACTGACCTGATGCAACACTCACCCGGCTGCTCCCGCCGCCCCCTCGCCTCTGAGTCGGGAGACCAACTTCTCACTTCCACGCCGGATAGACTCGCGGAGCTTGGAGAACGAGCTGCTCCGACGAAGGGTCTGGAGAGGCCCAGGGACACCAGTCAGTCCCCACACCCTGCCAGCCCGTCCCACCCTGGAAGCTGAAGCCAAGCCCACCCTCACCTGCTCTGCATCACCAGCTGTGCCTGTGTTGGGGGTTCCTGGAGAACAGATGGGGGACATTGTGGTGGGGACACTGAGAAGCCACCTGTGGGGGAGGGGAGGGGCTGGGGGCTCACCCAGAGGGGCAGGCAGGTCCTCCCTGCTGAGGATTTCTTTGTAAAGCTCTTCTGCTTGCTGGTACTTGTTCTGTTTCAGGTAGGCTGAGGCCTGCAGGAGGGCACGGCCTGGCTGAGCGCGGCTCAGCACTGCACCCAGGCACATCCCCCGCCCCCACCCACTCCTGGCCTCAGCCTGCAGCAGAGCCTGGAGCCTGACCCTGCTGTCCCTGCCTAGGCGACCCAGGGCTAGGGACTTCCTGGCTCAGCCCGTTTCCTGCTCTACCTTGGCCCACTGATGCAACCTCATTGTGCCTTAGTTTCCTCATCTGCAAAATGGGGGAACACCTGCCTCACAGGGTCCTTTAAGAAACGGATGGTGCAGGGAACGCATTAAGCAGAGGAGCTAGAGCCAATAAACATCGGATGCTGTCACCCGCTCCCGGCCAGTCCCCAGCGTCTTTCATGGGGCTGTTCTTTGGCTACCACCACCACCGGCTGGTTTCCTGACACCTCTGTGCCGAGCAGTCAGGGCCCCGCTGCGAAGCTGAGTCTCAGGGAACCCCTTCTCCAAAGGCCTGGCAGAGGGGGTGCTCCGGGCCTCTGGCATCCCCACCCCCACCCCTGGCCCCCAGCACCCTCACCAGGTTGTTCTTTGTCTTGGCCACATTTGGGTCATGGGGCCCGCCCAGGGCCTCATAAATGCTCAGGGCTCGCGCATAGTGCCGCTCCATCTCCTCGAACTTTCCCTGGTTCTGGCAGAGCAGGGCCAGGTTGTTGAGCTGCTTGGCCACATCCGGGTGGTCGGTGCCCAAGATCTAGGGGTCATGGGGTCATGGGGTCACAGGTCATTGGGGTCATCCAGGATTGGCAGGCTACCTGATGCCAGCAGCCATAACAGGGGTCCCAAGTTAGGGAATTCAGGACAAAGGAGGGAATTACATGAGGTCGGGCTGGAGGGCAGACATTACACCAAACTGGAGATTTATCAGGTCAGAGGTCATGGTGGTCCAGAAACCGCCTTGACCTTGGGATGCAAGGTCAAATGGGTAGATCAGGGAGGAGGTTGGGGGCATGTGAGTGAGGTATAAGAGAAGTCAGTCAGGAGTTAAGATCGAATGGAGGGGACTCCGCTGGGCAGGGCAGGACCTTCTCACGGATCTCCAGGGCACGCTGGCAAAGGGGCTCCGCCTCCCGGTACCGCCCACGCTTTCCGTAGAGGACAGCCAGGTTGTTCAGGGTGGCAGCCACCTGTGGGGTCAGGGGAGGCAGGTCAGGGGTAGGAAGGCACAGCCCCCGGCCCTCCCGTCCTCCTGGGCCCCCACTCACTGCGAGGTGGTCAGGGCCCAGTGTCTGCTCTCGGATCTGCAGGGCATCGTGGAGAAGGTCTGTGGCTTCTTTGTACTTGTTCTGGTCCCTGTGGGGCGCGCAGGGGTGCAGGGGTCAGCCAGGGTGGGGTAGCAGGGGCCGGGCTGATCCCAGCAGGTTCAGGGACCTGGCCGAACTAGGCATGGGTGGCACCCCTTCCGGGTCTCCCCATACCTCCTAAGTCTAGCACCTCCAGATCACTGACAAGCCTCTGGCCACCCCAGGTATCATACCCAATCTGTTGGGGTCTGTCACCCACACTTCCTGACTCCTCTTTGCCTGGGTCCAAGTGGCCTCCCCAGATCTCTGTCCCCCTCCTCACCACCATCCCTATACCCCACGCAGAACAGGACACCAGGGGTCCCCCTCTTCCACCCCACAGCGATTCCCGCCCTCCCTGCCCCTCCAGCCGTGGCCAGCCGCAGCCCTCACCGGTACACCAGTGCCAGGATGTTGAGCATGGTGGCCACGTCAGGGTGGCAGTGGCCTGAGCTGCGCTCCAGGTCCTCCAAGGCCTGGCGGCACAGCGGCACAGCCACCTCGTAGCGGCCCTGCCCCGCGTACTGGATCACGAGGTTGTGCAGGGTCCGAAGGCGCGCCGGGATCTCGTAGCCACCCTGCTGAGCCGCTGCAGCGCCCGCCGCCTCAGGACCTGGGGGTGGCAGGTGCCTAGTCACTGCGGGCCTCCTACCTCTCCAGCCTCACACGGGGGCACGTGCACCCCAGGGCTACAGCTGCCTCACTGTCCAACTGGGCCCTGGGCCCACGGGGTGTGAACACAGGCATCTACCTGCCTGGTCCCACACCTTCCAGCTTCACCTGCCCACTGTCACCACCCCCACAGCCACCTGCTTCACCGTCCTGACCGTTGCCCTAACCTCCCCCGGCCCTGCTCAGAGACCCTGGGAGGCAGCTGTCCCTCCCCAGCTCAGCCTCTCATCCTCCACAGCCGAGCTCCCCACAGTCACGTGTTCCCCCTCACCCACCTTTCCTTTCCTCCTCTTCACTGGGGAACAGGGAGGCCAGGCTGTCTCGGCGAGGGGGGGACTCAGGCTGCTGCGGAGAGGACAGGAAGGCGGGGAGTCGCGAGGGTTGGGAGTTCCTGGATCTCCAAGTTTGAGGGAGGTGGTGGTCAGGCCCCTCAGGAGTCTCCTGAGGGCTTGGGGAGGATCTGGGGCTTTTGTGGAACAGCTGAGGCCTCTGCAAAAGTCTAGTGGCTTGTGGGGGTTCTTTGAGGACCTAGGGCCCTGAGCTCCATGGAGGGTTGGGGGCCATGGGGTATCTAAAAAGGGTCGGGGCCCCTAGTGCATCATGACCCCCACTGCGCCTGGTCCCACAGCACCTGGCCCTCCGCGGGTAGGTCATACTGCCGCAGCTGCCCCAGGAACTCCAGGTGGCTCTTCTCCTCCTCCAGCTGGGCCACGGACTCCTCACTGGCCCTCAGTCGCCGCTGCGTCTCCTCCAGCTCCTCCCTCAGCCATGTGTTCTCCTGGGCCAGCCTCCGGGCCTGGGCTCGCAGCCGCTGCTTCTCAGCCTCCAGGGCGCCCACATGCGCCGACAGGGCCAACAGCACCTGCAGGAGTCAGGGGCCTGGTCCCTACCCTGCCAGACAGCCCTTGCCCCAGCCCAAGGCCTCATCGAGTCAGGGCATTCCTATTCTATCCCCGTTCCCCAGATTCTGCAGAGCGCCCTCCAGTGTAACTCCAAGGACACGGAGGCCCCCAGGACATACCCAACTCACCCAGGCGCACACATTATGCCGAGACTGCATGTCCCACCCATGTACCCCAAAGACTCCCCAAGACCCACAGTTCTATAGAAGGATCCCATCTGCTTTAGTGGTACCTGCCACACTCAAGGGCCCCCCAGTGCTACCCAGGGACCCCATCTCTGGCTTGAGCCTTTCCCTCCCAGACCTGGCTCCCTAGGTCTCACCTACTGCAGGCTTACCCCCCTGCATACCTGGGCCCGTCCTCCCTGGGCCTCCCCCGAGGTCTGAGTGTCCCCCCCGGGGCTGGACCCCTCATACCTGGGCCTCGCCCAGCCCCAGCTCGATGGCTTCCAGCGAGTGGCTCACCACCTGCTGCTTTTCTTCCAATAGTTCCAAGCCAGCCACCGCGCCCTGTCCTGCCAGGGCCTCTGCCAGGTGCCCGGCCAGGCCACGGTGCTCTGCACGGAGGGCCTCCAGCCCCTGCACCACCTGTCGTGTCTGCCGCACCAGCTCCTCCGGGCTCAGGCGCTCTGGGCCCAGCCCCACACTTCCGGGGGCTGCCACCTGCACAGACATTGCTGGTCCTGGGGGGCAGCGGGATTGGGGAATGATTGCCAAGGCCAGGCAAGCCAGCCCCTCAGCCCCCAGCCGTTCCAGCAGCAGGACGCCTCCTGTTATCTTCCCTCCAGCCTCCCAGGCTGCCCTCTGCCTCGTACCCTCCTCCCAGCCGGCACCCTGTCCCACACCCATCCCAGCCAGCCCTCCACTGGGAACGTTCTAGTCTATCTTTGCCCGTTCTCCGCCCCGGGAACAACTCCAAAGCCCCATGTATGACTAACCAAAAGAGGGCAAACAGCTGGTCTGTGGCCCCCCACCTGCCCCAGCTCACCTGGTCAGCCCTCGCCACCCCAGGGGTACCCTGGCCCAGACCTCCTGGCTGTGTGGCCTGGAACTGGAGGCACCTTCCTCTGCTGGGTGTGTGGGGTGGGGTGTGTGGAGGCGGCAGCCACTCTGTGAGCTCATTCTTAGGGTGTTTTTGTTGGGAACCAGTCAGACCGCTGGGGCTGGGAGGTGGGACTGGAGGAGAGGGCCAAGGGGCTGGGGTGTCGGAAGCAGAGGAGGCCTCTAGATGGGGAGGTCAGTGAGAGGGACCCCAGGGGTGGGCTCCTGGGGCCTGGGGAGCTGACAGACCCTGAGGGAAAAGGGGCTCCGCCCTCCATTGCAGACAGGCCCAGCCAGCCCAAGGCGTGTTGGGACACACGTGTGACAGGTGTGGCTCTTGGATGTCACTGGCCATGTGACAGTTGAGGGTTTGAGACCCAGATCATGATGGGGGTCTTACACGTGGGACTTCATATGGTTGTATGTGAGTGACAAAGTCAACGACACAGTCGGTGGTGCCTTGGAGCCCTCATATACACGCTTGCACACAAACACACTCCTCTCAGAAATACACCTCAATGCACACCTCAGAAGGGATTCTTAGAAATACAATGTAAGACACAATCCCCTCTCAGAAATACAACACATTCTGGACATACTCTTCCTCCTCTAAAAATATAAAACTCAATACACTCACATACACATCCACACTTTCCCTTCAAAGCACAACCTAATGCAACACACTGACTCAGGCAGACACACTCACACACTCCGCTCTTGGAAATACAACCCAACGCCCAGGTATATTTTTCTTTCAGAAATAAAAGTCAACACACAACACACACAGAAATATTCTCTCACCCACGAAAATGTAACCAAATTGCAAATGTCTCACATTCAGACTGTCTTCTTGCACTTATGCTCATGACACACGCCCTCTCCCACTTGCGCAGCCCCCCACGCAGCCGGGTCTCCGCTGCATGCCCAGCGCCTCCTCCCAGCATGTGCCCCCAGCTGATGGACCTGTCACGACCTTCCCCGCTTCCTCCAGTGCTCCCCAGCCCCTTCCGGGCCAGCCAGAGATTTGCACACCTGCACAGGCAGCCACACAGCTACACATACAGAGCTCCAAACACAGGCGCACAAACAGCCCCTCAACTCACTCAGTAATGCTGCCACGAGTGGGGGCCCAGACCACAGACGGCTGTGGAGACACCCGGGGCAGGGCCACCGCTCGTGCACACACCCTCTCAGGCAATCGTCGCTCAAGACACTGCGCGCACCCACCATGAGCAGCCCCGCGGTTTCTGCACCTGCTCACAGGTTCACAATCATATACACTTAGATGCGCAGCAAGGGCAGCGTGTGATCCCGTGGGTTTTACACCGCAAGCAGCTCCCATCACCTCATCTCTCTCTGTGTATGTTTGTGCATCAGCCCCTTTCTATATGTATATATGTGTGTAGGGATGTTACACCATCCTTGGTCTCACACCTCACACACAAGCCCCCTACAGTCAAACACAACCACATAAGTTGGACAGCCATCTGACAACCACACCCAATAGTCACACAATTTTGCCGATTTATACAACCACCCACAACTTCATGCACAATCTCAGGCTCTAGACACAGCCTTGCCTGCACCACCCACAGTCCAACCGATGACCACAGTAACAGCCACGGAGACACACACAGCTGCACAGCACTGGAGCAGTTTCCCTGATGCACACCAGCTCCCACATCACACAGTCCCCCAGGCAGCAAACTCCCCTTCATGGGCTCCGCCCTGTGTCCCCAACCAGACAGCTGACAATGACAGCGTCACACCCCACACAGCCGTCCTGTTACATTGCCCACCTCCCTGCCACTCCCCCATCATACAGACAGAAAGACAACTACAGCCATGCAACCTCTTGATCACACTCACACCTAATCCCATGAACAGTTCAACTCCCTCCCATGCACACAGCCACACACCCGTACGACATTACCCATGCCGTCAGAGGTAGCCCACAATTTCACACCACTGAATTGGTTTCCACATCATTCACACAGTCATGGTGCACCCTCTCAGGGTCACACGAATAGTCCATCTCCCTCCACACCCATACCCACAGCCTGACACCATCTCTGCACACACCTGAGCTTCCTACACCATCACACACTTCAGACACCCTCTCTCATACACACGCACACACTATCCCCGTACACTCACAAGCAACAGGTCTCCACCATGGCCAGCACTCCACAACCACACAACTTACCCCTGGCCGGCCTGCCCAGCCCCGGGCACCCCAGCTTCTACGCAGCGGTCACAAGGGTCCCCCTCCCTTTCCTAAGCCCCGCCCTCGCTCCTGTTTACCTGCGCACGGGGGAGGGGGCGCGGCCCCAGCTGGGCCTCCAGAGCCGGGGGAGCCCACAGGCGGGGCAGGGGGCGTCCAGGGGCCCCCAGGCAGGTCCTCGTTGCCAGGCCAGCGGGCCTAGGGGTGCCCCAGGCCCAGCTCTCACCCTCTGCCCCCACCTCCATCCTCGCGGCCCCGGGGACCCCCGCCCCGCACTCCCGGCGCCCACCTGACCGCGCCGGCTCCGGGATCCACTCCGCTGCGCTGCGCCCGACCGCGTCCCAAAGTCGCGCACGCCCCGCGGCTCCCAGCTGTGCCCCGCGTCCCAGGCCGTGGGCGGGTCCCTAAGGGGCGGGGCGGCCAGGAGCCCCGCCCCCGCAGGTGAGGCCGGCCCTGCCCACCGCCGGGGGAAAGTTTAGGCTGGCGGCTAGGGCCCGGAGGGAATTGCAGCGCGTCGGCCGCGGAGCCCGGAGCCCCCGTGGGTGTCGAAGCTGAGGATCAGTCCAGCGTGCACGAGGCCTGGAACCCGGGGCCTCGCGAAGCCAGAACCGTAAGAACTCGGAATCTTGGAAACTAAATCCCAGACCCACGGCCGTTCTGGCAGGTTCAGCTGCTGGGCCTTTGCCTTGGCTGTGCCTCCTGCTTGGGTCGCTCTTATCACGGATTTCACCATTTGTCGGGTCTCCTCTCAAAGGCGGCTTCTTCCGAGAGGCCGTCCCTGACTGCCCCTTCTCAATGACACCCTCCCACCGAAACACTGCCTCATTTTCCTTCTGGATTGGGTTCACGAACTTTTCAGAGCCTAAAGTTATTTTAGGTAATATATCACATCGTTGTGTGACATCACATTATTGGTGAGGTCATGCAATGGCTAAAATTTGGGGTCTGGCCCTGACCAGTCTGGTTCAGCGATTAGAGCGTCGGCCCACAAACGGAAGGGCCAAGGGCAGGTACCTGGGTGGCAGGTGCGGGCTGATGTTTCTCCCTCCCTCTCTCTCTCTTCCACTCTATCTAAAAATCAATGGAAAAATATCCTCAGGTGAGGAATAATAATAATAATAATAAATATAAATAACATTTGGGCTCTGGGTTCACATCTCCTTCCAGCACTTAGCCCTGCAGGCATTTTGGCAAGTAATTTAACCTCCCTGTGCTTCGGTTTTCCTAATCTGTAAAATGGGGATAGTCAAAGCCTGTGAGGATTGGATGACTTAATAGATAGGAAACAGGACTTCCGGTCAAGATGGCGGCCAGGTAAACGCGGTATCGCGTCCTCCCACAACCACATCAAAGTTACAACTAAACTACAGAACAACCATCATTCAGAACCGCCTGAAATCGAGCTGAATGGCAGTCCTACAACTACGGGATTAAAGCAGCAGCCACATGGAGACTGGTAGGAGGGGCAGGGGCGGACGGGCTGGTCCCACACCCAAGTGTGGTGGATACAAATCAGGAGGACACCTCGGCTGGGAAGGTCCTTCCTGAGGACTGAGGGGTCCCCGTCCCACACCAGATGTCCTGTTTGGGGTTCCAGTGCCGGGAAGAGAATCCCCATAACTTCTGGCTGGAAAAACCAGCGGGAACTGAGGCTCAGGGAGGCTGAAGCAGCTGGAGCCCCAGGCAGCTCCTCTTAAAGGGCCCGAGCATGGACTTATCAGACTCACTCCCTCTAAGCTTGGAGGGGAGGCAGCTCCAGGGGCACCAGAGACACACAGGGAAGAACTGAGCTGTTTGGCATTGGAGGGCTGGAGAGGGGGCTTTCTCAGGGACAAACCTGTTGTCAGAGGCCTTTGTTCCTTTGGGGAGCCCTTCCCTGGGGCGGCAGACAGCCACCATATCTGGGACTCCAGCTCCTGACTGATTGCCCTGCCCTGGTGATTCCCTGAGGCCCCGCCCCACCCAACTTTCAGGCCCACCCAAGCTGTTGCCAGTTGCTTAACCTTAGGATTGGCCTGTCTTGGATCCTGCTGTAGGTTTTCCTAAATTCTTTCAAACAAGCAGCATTTGCTCTCAGCTAGCCCCATACCTCTCATTAAGTAATACACAGAAACAAACACAGGGAGGCAGCCAAAATGAGGAGATAAAGAAACAGGTCCCAAATGAAAGAACAGAACAAAACCCCAGGAAAAGAACTAAGCAAAATGGAGATAAGCAACCTAACAGATGCTGAGTTCAAAATACTGCTTATAAGGATGCTCAATGAACTTAGTGAGAACCTCAGCAAACTTAGTGAGGGTCTCAAGAGCACAAAAAAGGAGCAGTCAGAAATGAAGGATGCACAGTCAGAAATGAAGGAGGCACTAACTGAAATAAAGAATAATTTACACAGCTTCAATAATAGAGTAGGTAAAGCCAAGAAGCAAACCATCGATTTGGAATATAAGGAAGCAAAAAACACCCACTCAGAACAGCAAAAAGAAAAAAGAATCCAAAAAAATGAGGATAGTATAAGGAGCCTCTGGGACAATTTCAAGCCTGCCAACATTCGCATCTTGGGGGTGCCAGAAGGAGAAGAGAGAGAACAAGAAATCGAAACCTATTTGAAACAATAATGGCAGAAAACTTCCCTAACTTGGTGAAGGAAACAGACATACAAGTCCAGGAAGCACAGAAAATCCCAAACAAGATGAACCCCAAGGGGCCCACACCAAGACACATCATCATCAAAATGCAAAAGGCTCAAGACAAAGAGAGACTCTTAAAAGCAGCGAGAGAAAAGCATTTAGTTACCTACAAGGGAGTTTCCATAAGACTGTCAGCTGATTTCTCAAAAGAAACTTTGCAAGCTAGAAGGGAATGGCAAGAAATATTCAGAGTGATGAAAAGCAAGAACCTATAACCAAGATTACTGTATCCTGCAAAGCTGTCATTTAGAATCGATGGCCATATAAAGAGTTTCCCAGACAAGAAAAAGCTAAAGGAGTTCATCTCCACCAAACCATTATTATATGAAATGCTGAAGGGTCTTTTTGAAGAAAAAGATGAAATATATGAACAAACAAAATGGCAATGAATACATAGCTATCAACAATCGAATCTACAAACAAAATGAACAAGCAGAACAGAAACATTCTCATAGATACAGAGAACATTTTGTTGGTTGCCAGATGGGAGGGGGGTTGGGAAAATGGGTGAAGGGATTAAGAAGTACAAATTGGTTGCTAGACTGACAAATCTCAAAGGGAAGGGGGGTTAGGGGGTGGGAAGAAATAAACCAAAGAACTTATATGCATATATGCATAACCAATGGACACAGACAACAGTGTGGGAAAAGGCAGGAGTGGGGAGGAGGGGGTCAATGGGGGAAAAGTGAGGAACATCTGTAATACATTCAACAATAAATATAAAAAAAAAAGATAGGAAACGTGGCAAATATTAGTTACTGATTACGTATTATATTCTTGGTTCTCTGAACTAGAATGTCAGCTCCTGAAGACAGAGCTCTGTATGGTCTGCACTGTATCTTTTTATT